AGAGAGAGAAGAAGAGAGAAGAGAGGAGAGAGAGAGAGAAGAGAGAGGGAAAGAGAGAGAGAAGAGAGAGAAGAGAGAGAGAGAGGAGAGAGAGAGAGAGAGGAGAGAGAGAGAGGAGGAGAGAGAGAGAGAAGAGAGAGAAAGAGAGAGAGAGAAAGAGAGAGAGAAAGAGAGAGAGAAGAGAGAAAGAGAGAGAGAAGAGAGAGAAAGAGAGAGAAGAAGAAAGAGAGAAAGAGAGAGAGAAAGAGGAGAAGAGAGAAGAGAAGAGAGAAGAGAGAGAGAGAGAAGAGAGAGAGAGAGAGAAGAGATAGAGAGAGAGAGAGAGAGAGAGAGAGAGAGAGAGAGAGAGAGAGAGAGAGAGAGAGAGAGAAAGAGAGAGAGAGAGAGAGAGAGAGAGAGAGAGAGAGAGAGGAGAGAGAGAGAGAGAGGAGGAGAGAGAGAGAGAGAGAGAGAGAGAGAGAGAGAGAGAGAGAGAAAGCTTATGATGGCATTTTGGTTTGACTTGAACCATTTCTAAGGTGGAAAGACCTTTTACCTCAAGTTGAGGTCTTCTTCAGAACAAGTTTTTACTGTCTTTGTCTCCTTGTGGGTTGATTCCTATAAAAAAAAAAATTATGAACCATACAAAGAAGTTAAAGCTGTTAGTTTCACAGTCCAATTAGGGTGGGATTAAATTATGAGGAATCAAATACAAAATGGGAGCTGACACAGTTACTTTTTGCTTATGATACTGTACTTTTAGGAGATTCTAAAGAGAAGCTGCAAAGGTTAGTGGATGAGTTTGAGAGGGTGTATAAAGGAAGAAAGTTGAAAGTCAACATAGGTAAGACAAAGGTAATGAGGGTATCAAACGAGTTAGGTAAAGAAAAACTGGATATCACACTGGATGGAAGGAGTATGGAAGAAATGAATGTGTTCAGATATTTGAGAGTAGACTTGTCAGCAGATGGATTAATAAAACACGAGGTAAACCGTAGAATTGATGAAGGAAAAAAGGTGGGCGGTGCAATGAGGTATCTGTGGAGACAAAGAAGGAAATGTATGATAGTATGGTGGTACTAACACTCATATATGGGTGTGAAGCATGGGTTGTAAGTGCTGCAGCGAGGAGGAGGCTGGAGGCAGTGGAGACGTCATGTCTAAGGGCAACGTCTGGTGTAAATATTATGCAGAGAATTCGTAATGTGGAAATTAGGTGTGGAGTTACTAAAAGTATTATTCAGAGGGCTGAGGAGAAGTTGTTGAAGTGGTTTGGTATTTAGAGAGGTTGGAACAAAATAGGATGACATGAATAACAAAAAGGCACAATACCGTGACTGGAACAATACACAAATAACCCGTACATAGGAGAGAGGAGCTTACGATGATGTTTCGGTCCAACTTGGACCATGTGTAACTTTGTAAACGGTCAAAGTTGGACTGAAACGTCATCGTAAGCTCCTCTCTCCTATGTGCGGGTTATTTTGTGTAAAGGGTGACTTGGAGGGTGTATAAATCTGTAGTGGAGGGGAGAAGAGATAGGGGTTGTCCTAGGAAAGGATGGAGGGAGGGGGGGTAAAAGAGGTTTTGTGTTTAAGGGGCTTGGACATATAGCAGGCATGTGTGAGTGTATTAGATAGGAGTGAATGGAGATGAATGGTTTTTGGGAACTGACAATCTGTTGGGGCATGAGGAGGGATTTAGGGAAACTGGTTAGCTAGACTTAAGTCCTGGGGGTGGGAAGTACAATGCCTGCACTTTTCTAAAGGAGGGGTTTGGGATATTGGCTGCTGGGAGTGGCATCTAAACTGTTATATCTGAGTGCTTCTGCTAAAAGAGTGATTATATGTGAATGATGGTGAAAGTGTTGAATGATGGTGAAAGGGTTTCTTTCTTTTTGGGTCACCCTGCCTCAGTGGGAGACGGCTAGCATGTTAAAAAAAAAAAAATACAATTTAATACAAATAAAAGCTCTGAAGAAAGCCAGTTATTTTGCAAACATTTTGGCCAAACTAGTCCATAGATTACAATTTTTTTTTCTAACAAACTAATAATCAAAACTAACAAAATACAAACATCATGTGTTCAAGCTCCTGGTCATCCCCTCTTTTCATGTTCAACATACCCCTTTCCCTCTCTCCCCCTCCCTCAATTTTTATGAATGGGTAAGCGAGGAATCATTGCATTACAATAATTACTCATACAATATCCACTGTGAAGTGACACCATCAAAATTGTTAATTTTATTAAGGGCATCACATGCTATACATAAACAATATATATAACATAACTGTAGTGATAAAGGCTCCAATACAACGCAGGCCATTTGTAAAGTAGAATTTTGAGATGCTGATGAAAAAATTAAAAAAAAAGAAAATGTTGTTTATAACATATGTCAAAATACAACTGAATTAAGAAGAGCAAATACTGTATAGTGTTTGCATGCAAAAATAATAAACTAGAAAAAATAAAAAGATGAGTGATAAAATGACTCCCAATGCTATTAAATATGAGTTATGTAGAAAGGCTACAGACACAGGATATGCCATTATTGCTCACAAGATAAAAAGAGAAGACACAATAACCACATTCAACATTATTAAAGAATATGGAGGAACTGACAAGGAAGATGTCATAACCCAACCAACTAGTACAAGAGGCTTAACTACAAATTGAGACACTAGATAATTTTTCTTCACAAAGAGCAGCAAAACAAGTGGTTTATGAAAGTAGATAGCAAGTCCTACATTTACTGGAAACTTAAACTTTTTCACAGTCAGTCATGCAGATCTATATTAGCGGGTTCAGTGTAGCTCACGTAGATCTATGCATAATTCATAATTCATGGCCTAGATATGACGAGCTGGGTTTGTGCAGTGGGAATGAGCAGTATAAAAAAAAAAACTGCCACATTCAGTGCATGATGGAAACAGCTAACCTCAGACCTTGCACTTGAGTTACAACAGCATTTTTGAGGCATTTCTAAGAGTGGTTTTCATGGTTTTACAGGCAGTTTCTTGGTGTCAATAGATGGACCAGAAGACATACTAGCAGTGTGGAGAAGGTTTTGGTCAGTTCCAGACAAGAAGTGGTTTGAAACATGCCTCAAAGTGACAAAAGTGGTCGATTTTTGGCAATTTTCCTGAGGAAGAGTAAGGCTCTCCTCCCTCCTCCAGTCTGTTTTATGACTTTTTACTAGGTCCCCTTCCTCCTAAACCATGAACCAGCATTCTTGGTTATAAATTAATAGCTGAGAAACAGGAAAAAAAACAGAAATTTTTGTGTGGAGAAGGATTCAAAATGGAGTGCAAGTGTGAGGACATAATTAATGAACAGGGGAAAGGCTGCTTTAGTTCAGTGGGTGGACTGCCTTCAGTGTTTGTTTTGGACTCTCTTTAAAATTGAAATTTATTGCAAAAAAAATGTACAAAAGGCCAAAGTACAAAAAGCATATTAGTACAATAGCTGGGAATTGGCTTGATTTAAGCACTGGAACTGGCTTAAAATAGGCAAAATCGCTGCTGCATAAAGTACTCCCCGACCTCCAAGTTTGCACCTGTGTAATGCCTTAAGTTTTACATTAAATTTTGCATTTTTGGTGTCATTACCTTTAGAAAAAGATTCTCTACCAATCTAGAAGATACAACTGTATTTTTTCAGAAATGTCAACACAGAAGGGGCTTTTGATATGTGAGGCATCAACAGTGAAAGGGTTAAAATACTTTATGAAATACTAAACACTGAAAGCAGGACACCATGAACCTAGCTCTGCTCCTGTAACAACAAACAGGTAATCACATGCCATCTCCCTCCACACAACTAAACTGACCCAGCTATTTTGTTACAATTATGATCTATGTACAAGAGTGTGACAATATAGTGTGATTACTGACAGCAATACTGACAAGTGAATTGTTTTGACTAGATTCTCTTAAACTTTTCTTCATTCCCTCCCTCTCTCTCCCCTAATTTGCATTTACTTTTGATGTCTGGTGTCCTCAGTAATGGGGCAACATAATGGTGATACAGTAGAAGTTAACAGAGTACACATTTATTAAAAATGCAAAAAATGCAAATTGACAGTTGGGCTCTTAGAGGCTAGAAATGGAGACTACTCTGGAGACAGCTCCCTTCTGTGTAGAAGGCACTGGTGCAGTAACCTCTATAAAAGCAAAGATGCTCTGCAACGTCTCCACCTCCGAGACATTACAGACTACATATGAAACAAACAATAGCTCAGAGAGGCAGACAGAAGATAAGGGCACAGGACATGCAATGCAGCACCAGGAGATCAGCGAAGGTTTGTCTGGCACTCATTTTGATGCTCAACAGAGGTGAAGGCAGAGAAAGGGCACACCTCCCCTCCATTGGGTACTGTGAGGAGAGGATCTATAAACCTCCATCTCCATCACAGTAGTAGGGGGGGGGGAAACAAAAGTACCAGTGACTGAAGATATGGAAGGTAGAGAACTTGGCAGGTCTGAAGACATAACCTGAAAATGTTCGTGTACTGAAGCAGGGAAATCAGTGAACACAATGAGAGAAAACATCCCACATGTACTTTACATTGGAAAATACATAAATAGTTTTTAGCTGAGGGATTAATAAAAATATAAACTAGTAATTTCATGCTTAAATTGTTTTTTTTCTTGAGTTTATCTGATATATGAGTATGCAAAAATCACACTACATATTTTAAAACAAGTCTTTTCTATGCTGATGCATCAAAGTGTTTACAGTTTACTAGTTACATAATGAATTCACGTAGCCTGCATATAAATATTTATCAAACAAGTCTATGATGATTGCAAATGGGCAGAATACAGTGGAGTAATTATATAAATCACTGTTAAATGTTTTACCTATAGAAATGTGCTGCATTTTTAATGGCTTGAGAGAAAGAAATGCTAACCTATTGTATTGCCTCATATCAATCCTGCAGGAGTTACATCAACAGACTGTGTGGGTATTACTGATGGTTTTCAGACATCTGATGCACATTAGTAATGTGGTGAACTTACTCTTATAGTAGTTACAGGGTATGTGTAGATGGACATTTGATGTAACTTTCGTGAGCTGCATTCATCCCCCACCTATCTGGTAATCTGAGGCATCAGTGTCTCGAGTGCTGCGTGCCGGGGTTTTTCTGCCCATTTTGCTGGTGCCTCATCAGCAAAACGGACTTGTGACAATCTTGTCTATTCCTATGGCTCGTCGAAGTCCTCTGTAAGAGGACGAAAAACTTAGCCAAATGTTTTTCCAGCTCTAAAGGTGGTTTTAAATCATTCCTATGATCACTCAATCTTATGGTACCCCTGGCATATACAAATTTTTTAACATTGGTCATTTCCCACCAAGGTAGGGTGACCAAGAGGATACACATTCACCATCACTTATTCTCTGGCGGTCTTTCCAGAAGTCTACTGACATCACAATTCAAGTGACCCACTGAACTTCAAAATCTCCAATCACAAATTCACCTAACCAGTGTTTCTGAACTCCTTCACTACCCTGCTTCCACTCTAACAGCACATCAAATCCAAAAACCACTTGTCTCCACTCATTCTGATCTTACACCACCACATACAGCTACTGGTTGCTCAGGCTCCTACCTCTTTGAATAGTGACCTATTGGTAAAACACCTAATACTGTACACCAGTAAACAGGCTATCACTTCTTCACCATCATGTTTACTTTCTGAGCATCTACACATCTGTAAACCTTTGTTGTCTGTGTTGCCAACTGTGCAGATTTCATGCACCAGTCATATGGCTGATCTGGTTCTAAACAGACCTTGCAATAGCATGCACAATGTTCTCGATTATCTAATCATTCTACTGCAGGATTTGATACATGCATAATATTCTTGAATATGTGATTCAATCTACTCCAGGATTTGATAAACCTAATATTTGCATGGCACATAGGTGATGCTCGAGAAGAAGAAAACTGTTCAGTGTGCTTAGCTGAAACAATAGTATATGTGTATGTGTGGAAGCGAACTCGATGAAGATTCAAATATTGTTGACAAATCAGTAGGTCATACAAAACTTAACAACCTCTCTGAATGCTTACTGATGTGTCTGGCCTCAGAATTCATTATCAAATATTTACTTAAAGGAAATAATTACACACACAGGTTTGAGAAAATACAGGCATGGAGTACATGCTGCAGTAACAACTTACAAAGCCCATAATATGCTCAGTGTTTTGGGCACGATTTAAGATAACATTTTTAGTTGTATATTAATGCAATACAGTATATTCAAAGGAATATACAAAAATAAAAATTAAGTGTGCAAGTAAATATGTAAGAAAAACTTGAAATAAGACCTATGTTACTCAAGTACATAATATGAAGAGTGAAACCTTAGTTCAATGGACTAATATGAGGGATATGGTGTTTATCATGCTGACAGACTCCCCAAATTGAAAGCCCTTCTGTGCAGACATTTGAAAAAAAAAAAAATTTTTATGTTAGGTAAAAGAACAAAAGTGCAACTGAAATGGTAGAGAATCTTTTTTAAAGGTAATGACACTGAAAATGCAAAATTTGATTTAATTTCAGGAGTCGCAACAGCGAAACGATTCATACTTTTGGAAGTACATAGGTGTGAGGGGTACTGTATGCAACTGCAATTTAGCTCACTTTGAGGATCATTTCAGTGGTCAAACTGATTCAATTTCTTGGCAATTGCTATTGTGCTTGCCATCCTATTCAATGATTACAAAAAACTGCCTATTCAACTATCAGAACAACCCATTAAGTACTTAGAATTAAATAAACTGGCAATTTTTACACAGTGTTTAACAAATACCAAAAAAAAAAAAAAAAAAAAAGTCCAAAACAAAACTATAGACATTCCAGCCATTTAGCAACCCTTCCTCTGCTCATTAATTATATCTTCAGTCCTCTCCTATATAACATTTGCCTACCATTTTGAATACGACATCACACACAACGAATAAACATTTCTTATTTTTTTTTTAGCTAATAAACCATAACCAAGAATGCATGATCATACTTTAGGCCATCCCAATAGTTGAAGCTGACCTGGTAAAAGTCATGAAACAGATCAGGGGAAAGTAGGGAACCCCCCTTCCCCTTCTCCTGTAAATATCACACAAAACAGACTATTTCTCATCAATATGAGACCAATTTCAAGACACTTCCCATCTTTAAATGACCTAAATCTTCTACATTCTCTTCCTGTCTATCTACTGGCAAAAAACAGCCAATGAACTCATGAAAACCACCCTAGAAAACATTCCAAATTCACTATTTTATCCCAAAAGCAGGGGTCAGAGGTTAGTTGTTCCCACCATGCACACAACCACTATATAGACTATTTTCTCATGTCTAGGCTCACACCAGATTTGAGGGTGCTATTATTATACATGACTGACATTTTATGGGTTAAATCAGAAAGAAGAGATTCTTTCTCCATGATGATAACAATGAACATTTGTAGAAACAACACACTTTGTAAGTTAAGTCTTAAATCAATTTGCCAGCAGACTGTAACAATAACTGACAATTCTGGAAATAATGAACACTGTCTGAACCTGAAGGATACCCGAATGATTTCCTTCCAGAGTCAGTGCCCAAGCTGACACTCATCAAGTTCTTAGTGTATTCATTGCATCCTGTTTTTTATTTGAGGTACTCTGCACTACCTGTTAAGTTTCTTGCCTTCATATGATGTGATGTCAGTGTGCAGAATTGGGACCAGTCCCTCCAGGATTTTCCAGGAGCAAATTATAATGTACCTTTCTTTCCATTCCAATAAGCACAGTTCAAGGGATTTCAAGTGTTACCAGTGATTCAGATGTTTAAATATACAGGCAGTGAGTTCTGGTTATATTTTCTAACTCGACAATTTTACCTGCCTTGAATAGGGAATTATACAGCATTATTACAGCCTAAGTGACTTGAATATCGTTACTGACTCAGTATCTCATCTTAAAAGTTTTAGTTATTCAGGCTATCATTTTCTTTGCAGTAACAATAGTTACACTGTTGTTAACCATGAATGTGAGATCTTCTGACATCACTCCCAAATCTCAAACATGGAACATTAACCCTATTGACTGATTCAAGTGTGTCGTGTACTCCTTTTCAGTCTATTTCTCCATTCTTCCATAGCGGAGCATCTGAAACTTGTCATAACTAAACATCATACTATTGCCTGAGACCCACTGCAAGACTATTCATATCCTCCAGAAGATTTGCTGTGTCTTTGACAAACACCACTCTCAAAGAGAATCTGGGATGTTATGGTGTTATGATTTACATTCTTGTCCATGTTGGATGTGAGAATGAAAAACAGAAATGGGGTGAGTACTGTCTTGAGAACAGAGCTTTTCACCATGACAGCATCCAACTTCACTCTTGAGGTTACATTTGTTAAGCTAAATATCTATACCTGGGGTATACCTGGAGAGGGTTTCGGGGGTCAATGCCCTCACGGCTCAGTCCATGACCAGGCTTTGCGGTGGATCAGGGCCTGATCATCCAGGCTGTTACGGCTGGCTGCACATAAACCGACTTATGAGTCACAGCCCGGCTGGTCAGATACTGACTTGAGGTGAATCTCCAGTGCTTTCTTGAAGACAGCCAGAGGTCTACTGGTAACCCCCCCCCCTTATGTATGCTTGGAGGCAGTTGAACAGTCTTGGGCCATTCACACTTACTGTGTTGTCTCTTAGCGTACTCATGGCGCCCCTGCTTTTCATTGGGGGGATGTTACATCTTCTGCCGAGTCTTCTGTTTTTGCAGGGAGTGATTTTTGTGTGCAGATTTGGGACTAGACCCTCTAGGATTTTCCAAGTGTACATTATCAAGTATCTTCCACGCCTGCATTCCAGGGAATACAAATCAAGGGACTTCAACCATTCCCAGTAATTTAGGTGCTTTATCATACTTGTACATGCCATAAAAGTTCTCTGTATATTTTCCAGGTCTGCAAATTTTGCCTGCCTTGAAAGAGGCAATCAGTGTACAGCAATATTCCAGCCTAGAGAGAACAAGCAATTTAGAAGAATCATCATAGGTTTGACATCCCTAGTTTTGAAGGTTCTCATTATCCATCTCATCATTTTCCCAGCAGATAGATACATACATTGATTGTGATCTTGGAAAGCGAGATCCTCTGACATCATCACTCCCAGGCCCTTCACATTAGTTTTTTGCTCTATTGTGTGGTTGGAATTTGTTTTATACTCCAATACAGTTTTAATTTCCTTGAGTTTTCCATAGTGGAGGAATTGAAATTTGTCTTCATTGAACTTCATATTTTTTTCTGCAGCCCATTTCAAGATTTGGTTGATGTCTGCTTGGAGACTTGAAGTGTCTTTGATGGATGACATTGTCATGCAAATTCAGGTGTCATCCACAAAGGAAGACAACTGCTGTAGCTTACATCTCTGTCTATGTCAGATGTGAGAATAAGGAACAGGATAGGAGCAAATATTGTACCTTGTGTAACACAGCACACTCTTCCAGTTATTTCCTTTTATATGCATTTTGTGCACTATTCCACCATGGTTGTACATGCTGAAGGTTTGTGCAAAATCAATGTACACTACATCAGCATTTAGCTTGTCTTCCAGTGCATCAAAGACTACGATATCATAATGATCTAGCAATTGTGAAATGCAGGAGCAACCTGCACTAAACCTATGGTGCCCTGGGTTACTGTACAACCCTTGCAATTATGAGTTACTGGCAATTATGTTTCTTAGGATGCATTCAAAGATTTTAATGGTGTGTGAAGTTAGCACCATTTGTCTATAGTTTTTTGCAATTATTGCCCCTTCACTGTTCAAAGCCCCAAAATTAAAAGAGCTCACAGTATCCACATTGTTAATAAATAAGTTAAAAATCTTTTTCTGAAGGTAATGATACCAAAAGTATAAAATTTAATGGAGTTAGCAATCTGGGTGCAATTTATGTACTGACAATTTTGCCCACTTTTAATCCTATTTTATGCCAATTCCATTGCCCAATTCACCCAATTTTGCTAGTATTCCTACTGCACAAGAAACTGCCCATTCAACTATCAAAATTGCCCTATAACTTGCACAGAAGTTGGTAATCTGGTCAATTTTACACAAAATGAAAAAATTCTAATTTCAAAAATGGAGTAAAAAATAAACACTGTAGACATTCCACACACTAAAACAACATTTCCTTTGCTCATAAATCATATCTTCAGGCCTCA